GCGGAAGTGGCAGCTCCTCCCCCGGCCGCTCGCACCGGGGCCGCGCGCTGCAGGAGGAGGTCTGCGGCCCGGAAGGGAGCGCCAGCCCATGCCTGCGGGGGGCCCAGCGCCGCGCAGCCCTTAGGGGAGCCGGCCCTGGCAGGAGGAGCTGTCCCGGCCATGCTGGCCTGGGCGGGCGTGCTGGGCCTCCTGCTGCTCCTGCTCTGGGGGGCTTGGGCGCAGCTCTGGCCGGGGGCCGGTCCCCGCAGCTCTGGCCTGCAGCTGGTCTGCAAGCCCTCAGCACTCGCCACGCACCTGGAGACCCGCTGCCAGAGCCTGAGAGGCTTCTGGGGAGCCCACTGGGCATGGAGGGCCCTGCCTTCCCTGCAGAGCCTGGCCAGCCTGGCGGGGCCCGTGGACGGCCAGGTGCATTTCGTGCGGAACCACCTGCAGCTGCAGGATGAGGGCTTGGTGGCCCTGGACTGGGTGGTGGGACCGTGCCCCCAGCCCAGGAGACGGGTGTCCGGTGCCGGCAGCACCCCGGTCCTGCTGCTGGTCCCCAACTCCTTCGGGAAGATAACACGCAATGTCAGCAAGGTAAGAGCATGCGCGGGGCAGTGCTGGGCAGACCAGCGCCCTGTGCGCCAGGCCGGCTGTGGCACCAGCTCGTGGGGGGACCAAAGGCACCTGCACCATGGGGACAGGGATGTTGGCTTCTGGCTGCAGCCGGGGGGTTGATAGCGCTGCCAGCGAGGGGCACGGAGGGCTGGCCAGGCTCTTCTTCTGGCACCTTGTGGAGAGAGACGTGTCCGGCAGGGCAGGGGGAGGCACGTGAGCACGCCGGTGGGGCTGGAGCACTCACTGACGTGACAGCTGCCAGTGCTGCCTGTGGGGACACGGGTCTGAGCACCTTGGGAACCAGACCCAAGGAGTGTTTGGAGGGACTCCTGGGCTGGGGTGCCCAGCAGTGACTAGCTGAACCTGCCCGGCCACGAGGCTACAGCTGTCGGGTGGAGGTCGCTCTGCGCCCCGTGTCCTTTGAATGCCCCCGGACTGACGGCAGCAGGCCGAGACCTGCTTGCGGGGGCAGGGCCGTGGCCCTGCGGGATCCTGACGGCTTCTCTGCTGCGGTACGGTGGGTAGGGACTCTACCTCCCAGCACTGCCCCGTGCTCTGTCGCTTCCAGCTCTGCCGCCTGGCGCTGCTTCAAGGCTACCGCCCCGTCGTCTTCAACCGCCGCGGCCACAACGGCTGCCCGCTGAGCACCGCCCGGCTGCAGGCCTATGGGGATGCCGCTGACCTCCGGGAAGCCATCCAGTACATCCGCTACCGGTGCCCCGGGGCCCAGCTCTTTGCCGTGGGGGAGAGCACGGGTGCGGGGCTCCTGTTCTCCTACCTGGGGGAGTGCGGTTCTTCCAGCAGTGTGACGGCAGCTGCCTGCATCTCCCCCATCCTCAGCCCTCGGGAGTGGATGGAGGCCGGGTGTCCCTGGCCCTGGCAGCAACTCCTGCTCTGCTACCAGAAGGTTTGGCTCAGCCGGTGAGTGCCTGCAGCTCGCGGTGTCCAGGGTGGGCAGGAGCAGCCCGGGCTCTGCTGGTAGCGGCTCCTTCGTGCACTGGAGCAGGGGCTTGGCCCGGGCACCCGTGCGTCCGGCTCCGTGACTCGATAGCAGAGCTGACGGCCCGTCTGTCCCCGCCAGGTTCGCCACGGTGCTGGCCGAGGCCACGCGGCCGGGAAGCATCTCCGGAAGCCGATCGCTGCGGGAGCTGGAAGAGGCCGTGTTCTGCCAGGCCCAGTCCTGGGACTCGTACTGGGAGAGGAACGAGCCCCTGCGGGACGTGGACGAGGTGGCCACCCCAGTGCTGTGCATCTGCAGCCAGGACGACCCGGTGTGTGGGGGCACCGGGGGCGCGCCACCCCGCGAGCTGTTCGAGACCAACCCCTACCTCTTCCTCGTGCTCGCCCCGGGCGGAGGCCACTGCGGCTTCTTCCGGGACGGCCTGTGCAGCTCCTTCTGGAGCCACGAGCTGCTGCTGGACTTCTTCCAGGCCACGGTGGACTTCCTCCTCGCGGAGAAGCCGAGCGGCCAAGCCAGGAGGAGAGGGGCGCGGGTTGCCCCCGGCCCCTGCCCATGCGGGCCGGACTCCTGTCGCCCCCAGGGCCGCGGCGGCCCGCAC